CCAGAGTTCAGGCCCTATGACTGGACAAAAAAAAAAGAACTCTACCACTTGAGCCATAGCACCACTTCCAGCTTTTTCTGCTTATGTGGTGCTGAGGAATCAAACCCAGGGCCTCATGCATACAAGGCAAGCACTCTACCACTGAGCCACCTTCCCAGCCCATATATATAGATATATATATGGCATAAACCTCAATACATTCAAGTTTTGATTTTTCAGGATTTAGGACTCAGACAAAAGGCTGGGCTCAGGAAGGAGTACCCCATAGTGGGAAAGGGGAAGAGAACAGCAGTGACTTGAACCCTAGGACTCCAGGATACTTTGGGGAGGAAACTTGCCTAGGTGCAACTAGACCTATGCCAGCTAACTCCACGCTGGGAAGGAAGTTTAGATCTGGGTTCCTGTAGGTGGAGGTAGACTACTCTGTCATCATCCATCTGTGCCAGACGCACAGAAAGCTTACCAGCCAGGTATTGGAAGCCTCAAAAAGTTACTTGAGCACTAGATGAAGTACTTCCGGCAGACCCCGTGCTAGACTTTCTCCGGCCTTCCTCTCCCCAAGCACAGAGGCCTCCCAAGAAGGACCTGTAATTGGGGGTTGGGGTGGGGTGGGGTTGAGCTGATTCTAGAAGCAGCTCCCAACCTCTGTACACCTTCCGGCCTTGACTTGCAGGGTTTCTTCTGCAAGATTGGCTCAGCACTAGGAAAGCAAGCATACCTGAAGAGGTGGTAAAATCCTAGAGCTCTATGGCCAGGGGCGGAGCAACAGGTTATCATATCTGTCCTCCTCTTCATTCTGTCCATCACTTACCCAGCATCCCTGAATGTCACACCCTAGAGCTACAAATAAAGGTGTGTGCTTCCTGCCCTGGAGGAGGTCCTAGCTAGTGGCCACACAGGTGAGTAAGCAAACCACTACAATAAAATAAAGTGACGAATAATGAGCCATAAGAACCAGTGGAGGGAGTAATTAAAACAGACTGATTAGTAATAATAATTGCCTGGGAACATTAAGGTTTGGCAAAGAAAGTAATAGTCTAGCCAGCCTTGAAAGATGAGTAAGAATAATGTTAATCATTGAACTTTTACCCTGGCCATTCATTGTGCCTGTTCATTATTACATTATCTCATTTTAGCAGCAACAGTTATTTTTCCAGTTTTACCAATGAGAAAATATGTAGAGAGGTTAAATAATTAGGATTTATTATGATAGAAAGCAAGTGACAAGGTCTAGGGATGTGGCTTAGTGGTAGAGTGCTTGCATAGCATGTATGAAGCTCTGGGTTTGATTCCTCAGTACCACATAAACAGAAAAAGCCAGAAGTGGTGCTGTGGCTCAAGTGGTAGAGTGCTAGCCTTGAGCTGAAGAGCTCAGGGACAGTGTCCAGGCCCTGAGTTAAAGCCCCAAGACTGGCCAAAAAAGGAAGAAAAGAGAGCAACACAGGAGGCTGAGATCTGAGAATCACAGTTTGAAGCCAGCTGAGCAGCAAAGTCCATGATTCTTATTTTGGTTTGTCATATGGCTTGAACTCTGGGCCTGGGTGCTATCCCTGAGCTCCTCAACTCAAGGCAAGCACTCTACCATTTGAGCCACAGTGCCACTTCCAGTTTTCTGGTGATTATTGGAGGTAAGTCTTGCAGCCTTTCTTTTTTTTTTTTTTTT